ATCTTTCTTCCTCTCCCTCCCTGGTCCGTTTTCCCCTCTTTTCCTCACCATGGGTCTCACCCTCCCACTCACTCTCTTTCTCTCACCTCCAAAGCCTCAGCGATCTCCCTCCTTTCGGAGACTCGCAACTCACACTCTTCAGCAGAACTCCTCAAGGTGTTGTAAATCCTCCTAGTGATTTAGACCCGCGTGAAGTGATTGGGGATTGGGCAGGAAGTGGTACTTGGGCTCGAGAGTTACAACTGTCATTTTAAATTAATTTGTTTTTTATTTTTTTTTGTTGCTGTTGGTTGTTGTTTGATTAAACGCTTGTGGGATGTTTGTTTGTTTTTAAGGTAGGGATTTTTATTTATTATTATATTTTTTGAGAATGGGATTTTTTTAAAATAGGGATTTAATGTAAGGTTTATATTATCATTATTATCTATTATTATTTATTTATTCATTTTATTTTATTTTATTTTAATGTGAATTTAATGTAGTTTTTTTTTGAGAATTGGATTTTTTTGGAAATAGGGATTTTTGGATCAGAGGGATTTTTAGTGTGTAAGAAGGATTTCCAAGGCAGGGATTCTGATTACTATAGAGAGAATTTTACTAGAGGATTTGATATAATAGTGATTCTGATATAAGGATTTGTATTTATATATTTTTGAGATAGAGATTTTAGCAGTGGAAGTTGCAAATAGGGGTTTTTAAAAGAGGGATTAAAGAACTCAGTTTGATTTAATTTAATTTCATTACTTTATTAAAATTCATTATCACTGTTGCCACCTCACGTTAGATTCATTATATCATTGCTATATGGTATATGCGACTCGAAAACTGAGGAAAATTTTTGTTTGAATCTTCAGTTGATTTTCATTATTGACATTTATCATTATTATTATTGTTGTTGTTTGTTATTATTATTATTGTTATCATTATTATCATTATTTCATTTTCTATTAGCACCTAAACCTATATTTGTTGTTATCATTATTGTTATTGTTATTACTGTATCTTATTTATTGTTATTATTATTATTATTAATTATTGTTTATTTTTATTGTTAATATTACTATTGTTATTATTATTAGTGCTAATGTTTTAAACAAATAACTATGCTAGACATCAAAGGTCATATAGTACTATTATTATTATTAGTGACGTACTAATTGTAATAAGAAAAATAATACTTTCATTTATTATGAGCACCGAAGTATATAAATCTAGATTAAGCACCCACACCCTCCCTCCCTCTCCCTCATACTTTCTCTCTCCCTCCCTCCTCTCCACTCTCCGCCTCCCCTGCCTCTTCACTCTGCCTCCCCTCCCCTCCATTCCTCCACTCCCTCCCTCTCCTACTCTCTCCCCTTCGCCTCCCCTCTCCTCCCCTTCCCTCACTCCTCCCCTCCCTCCCCTCTCCCTCCCTCCCCTCTCCCCCTTCCCTCCTCCCTCCCTCTCCCTCACTCCCTCCCTCCCTCCCTTCCCCTCCCTCCCCCTCTCCCCTCCCTCCCCTCCCTCCTCCTCCCTCTTCCTCCCTCCCCTCCCTCTCCCCCCAATCCTCTCTCTCTCTTTCCCTCTCCCCGACTTCCTGGATATCCACTAATCCTCCCCAAATTCCCGGGATTGGCCAATCAAAGTGCGCCCGCAAGACAAAGACCTCGCAGCCAGGGTCTTCCCCCTCTTTGACCCCGCCCTGGTCGCCCCTCTTAGTTTTTTTTTTTTTTCGTAGGATCTCGGAAGGACAAAAGGAGGTGGGGGGGGGGATAGGGGGAAAGGGGTGGGGAGGGGAGGAGGAAATGGGCGATAAAAGGGAGTAATAATATATTTTTCGGATGAAGAAGAGGGGGGGGGTGAGAGAGAGAGAAGAAGAGAGAGGGGGAGAGAGAGAGATGAGAGAGAGAGAAGAAGAGAGGGGGTGAGAGAAAGAGAAAAAAGAGAGGGGGAGAGAGAAAAAAAGAGAGGGGTGAGAGAGAGAGAGGGGTGAGAGAGAGAGAAAAAAAAAAAGAATGGGGGGGTTAGGATGGATGGTAGGATAGGTTAAAGATAAAGATAAGAAGTAGACAAGTAGAGGAAAGGAGTAAAGAAGGAAAAACAACATAGAAGTAGAGGTGAGTGAAAAAAACAAGGGACAAATAGAGGATGCGAATAAGAGGAGAGGGATACCGAGGATAGAGGAAAAAAAGGGGGGGGGAGATAGATGGGTAAGGTCTGTAGGGGGGGGGAGGTTGAAAAACAACTCTTATATTATGAATCAGAAAGTCAACCATTGATAGAATACTGAAGTCGCTTCACCAAAGCCCCGAACAAACACGAATTTTTTCCGACCGAAATGACACATAACATTCGATATCAAGAGAAGCAAAAGGTTCATTAAAACGTACGATTCCATGCACAGAGAAAGGAGTAATTGTGTCATCCTCTTTAAAACTAAATGTTAGAGTATCCACAAGAGTGCAGTTATT